GTACTATAAAATACAACTAAAGTTACATTATACAGCTATGTACTATAAAATACAACTAAAGTTACGTTATACAGCTACATGCTATAAAATACAACTAAAGTTACATTATACAACTATATACTATGAAACAAAACTAAAGTTACATTATACTGCTACATATTATGAAATGCTTCTAAAGTTACATTATACAGCTATGTACTATAAAATACAACTAAAATTACATTATACAGTTATGTACTATAAAATACAATTAAAGTTACGTTATACAGCTACATGCTATAAAATACAACTAAAGTTACATTATACAGCTATATACTATGAAATGCTTCTAAAGTTACATTATACAGCTATGTACTATAAAATACAACTAAAATTACATTATACAGTTATGTACTATAAAATACAATTAAAGTTACGTTATACAGCTACATGCTATAAAATACAACTAAAGTTACATTATACAGCTATATACTATGAAATGCTTCTAAAGTTACATTATACAGCTACATACTATAAAATACAACTAAAGTTACATTATACAACTACATATCATGAAATAAAACTAAAGTTACATTATACACCTACATATCATGAAATAAAACTAGTTACATTATACAGCTTCATACTATGAAATAATACTAGTTAAATACTATGAAATACAAACATCTGTCAGCTTTACCTGAGGATTGCAATCCAACACACACATTTTTCCTGAATTAATAATTGCACGAATGCTGTCAAGATTAGTTCCATATAGATGCCCCCCATGTTCACCCCATTCCAGGTATTTATTTTCTGCAATGTCTGCTTCTATTGCCTCCCTAGACATGAAGTGGTATGTTTTTCCATTTACCTCCCCATCTCTGATTGGTCGAGAAGTGTCTAACCAACATAAATTTGTTTTATTGTGAGGAGAGGAAATCCACTTTACACTTTAAATAAGTCCAGAGTTGCATCTTTTGAGTAGATTGTTTATTTTTAGTTTTTGTTTATCTTAAGGTAATTGTTGTATACTAAAGATGGCCACACAAGTGGTTGAAACATTGGAATAAAGTTAAATAAACAATCCACTCAAAAGCTATATCTCTGAAAGTTTATAAATTTCTTTTGTTTAAAATGTACTTTTGAATAGCTGGACAAGCACAAAACTATATTTTACAATCTGTAATTATTTGTGATATTTTTTATGAAATGCTCTTTTATAATAACATATATGAGTTGAAAGATTCAAAAAGCACACTCACATGATGATAGCAGGATAATCTAGCAAGTTTTAACAGTAAATGTATCTAATGGCATAATACATTGTACATCACAGAGATTTATTATTGTTATACTAAACTGATAATTTCCTATGGAGCTAGAAGTATATGAACCTGTACACCTCTAATGATGTTTTTAGAATATAAACATCTATAGATGTCTTGTATCTTAAACAATAGGGAATGCTCAATAGCCATGAAACTTGAAATTATTTTAGGCAGGATTAGAGTAAATTAATTTATGGGACCTTTTTATCCTTTTTTTTAGCTATAATTTTGTGCAGCAGGAATACCAAGCATGGAGCGCACACAAATCAAATTCAATTTTATTACTCATTAAGATCCCTACCAGCATCCCCTCAAATGGGAATTCTTTTAAGCAGGATTAGAGTAAATTATGTGATGAGACCTTGGGCATGGTTTGACCTCCTAAGTCCAAAACTGTCATTAGATCTCAAATCGGTCAAGAGGATACAGAGCTATGAGCTAAAAGTTTGTACTTGAAAAAAACTCAGAGTCATTCTATGAGCCGCTATGCCACAGCTAAAAATGAAGAACACTATGTGTTTCAAACTAGATCATAAATTTGAGTCCCTTTTTGAAATATAAAAATTAAATATTTTGTAACCATAGGTATGAAATTGATACTCCATTTAGTAAAAATCCTTCTTTAGCCTAACCACAACAATGTAATTTGTTCCTTCATAGTTAACATTAGAGTATTTACATTTTTCATCAATGAAATATATCATATAGGTTGCAGAAGAGCTAAGTATTTCAATTAATAACAAAATGGGTTCATATGTTAATGCATCACTAGTACAGAAATGTGACTTACAAGGCAGTGGAGAAGAAAATTTATCTGGGGCTGTACTAATTAGTTGAGTTTTAAGGGATCGGCGTCCAACGCCTTGAGCACCAAGAAGGACTAATGTCTTTCGTTTGAATGGAGGCATTCGAGCAACCTCTTCATACAAAAGAAGTTCTGCCTTGTCAAAATCTTCATACATGTAATGAAACAGGAGGATTTAAGTTAATAATAAAATGATTATTCAAGAATTTTAAATACTTAATTAACATGCACTATAAAAGTATTCAAAAGAAATGTAAAGATACTCAATTACATTAATGGTGTTAATCATTTAATACTGTTACAGAATTCAAATATTCAATAACAATATTGAACTGTTCACTTTAATTTTTTAAATAATCAATAAAATGTTTAATTTTCCAAGCTGAAGAAGCCATGTTATTGCCAGTGGCAGTAATAAAGACAAGGGTAAAAAAAAAACAAGACATTGGAAAAAAAAATCATTCCACAAAAAAAGACAAAGAAAATTACATAAACAGGTTAAAAAAGTAAAAAAAATATATATATACATGTACAAAGCAAATAAATTATTAAAAAGGATAAACAGAACTGTAGGGTTTAATAGCGAGTGTGGAAGCTGTTGATTAGAAAACTGTATTAACAACAGTTTAGTTATTAACTCATTTGGTTTACATGTTTTCAATAATTGGCTTAGGCTTGGCTTAGCTGTTATTTGTACGATTTTCCAAAATACTTTTTTGACTTTTTTACCTGTTTGTGTAATTTTCTTTATTTTTTTTTCTGATT